ATAAGCAACATTATATTAAAAGAAATATTATGATATCAAAGATATTATTGCTATCCTAATCGTTATTCAAATTATTATTACAAAGACACCAGGGAATATCTTTTATATACTTTTTCTTTACTTAGATAGTTCGATACCTTTTCCCAATAGTCATCCATCTGTTAGTTCTTGAATTTCTTAGGCAATCACTGATTTTCAACACCAGCCCCAACTAGTTCGAATCTAACGATACATATGAACTTGACATTCCCAGCCATTGTGACTTATTGACATCGTAATACAAAAAAAGCACAACACAGTACATTATTATTTACTAAGTTATATACTCATCACTCCGTTGCTGGCATAGTATATATACATATTATTTCTAAGATTAGCGATTATTTCAAAAATAAATGATTAGACAAATTAGATAAATTACCCAGCAAGTATTCGATTACATAAAAGATACTCTTCTTCGACTTGGTACTCTATAATAAAAAACTTAAAGACCATCACGGTGAATTTATGAAATTAAGTTAAAATCTGGTCAGTATTCGGGGTCCCAATTTCATTAAAATTTAACGTTAAAGCCCCGTAAAAGTTTTTTGGGCATCTGATCTAGATTGATAACGCGTCTAACCTTTCTTTCACGCTTTCAATGCAAATCATTAGATATGTATACAATATTGGCAAAATTTGTCGAATAACGTAATTTGGCAAACCGGGGCAATGAACACGTGCCACTTCGCGGCGCGTGTACCAATCACTTGCCCAGTTGAGCCAAATTATCGTATTCGACAAATTGACCAATATTGATGTTATCCGGAAATTTATGATCATGATTAGTAGGGGTCATCGACTGAGTTTTAATTTGAATAAGGCTGTTTGAAATTAAAGCTTCGTTTAACGTTACCCCCCCCTCCACTTCGAACCCTCCCCCCTAAAATTAAACAATTAGAAAGCTAATAAAAAAAGTTTTCAGTAAATTTTCAAAATTATGGCCAGAGCGTAATTTCAAATTTTGGCCTAAATTAAGCTTAATATGGGCCAGCACGACTTATCCATCCATAATTAGTTAGAATCATAAAATTGTACGTTGTTACGACCAGTGGGGGTTTTCATATGGGCGGAAATTTTTAGTGGAGTGCTGTGACTATATAAAATTAAGTGATATAAGTAACAGATCAATTTTGACAAGTAATGGATCATTTTGGATCATTTTGGATCATTCTGGGGTATTTTTTAGCTAATCTGTTCGGTATACTGCTCATAAAAACTAATAAGTAACTGATAAGTAACTCATAAGCAGTTTTACAATCACCGACAAATAATCACTTTAAATATTAGTAATCCACTGTATCATATATAAATCCTATTTAATCTCATCATTCAATTAAGTAAATTAGCACAAACACGTAAAAGACTTTTAATTGATAAATTAGTACAGATAATAAATTAATAAGCGGTACATACATTGTTTTCAAATCTTCATTAATGCTTTATCAACAGGTTAAATTAGAGTTAAATTTATTAATAGCTTAGCTTCGTTGAAACCAAATTTTCAGTAACAATTATTAACGATAGCACTAGGAAGCACTAAAATTCATTATTATCATAAACTCGTTTTTTTTTTACCGGGAGCGGTCCACTTTTTTTTTAGTGGGAGTACTAGGGTTTCGTCATTTTGAATTTGAGTTTGCGGAATTTGAGGTTTTGTCATTTTGGGGCTTAAGTTTCTTTTTTTGTCACCAAGCAAAAAGGTTTCATCTAACAACTATACAGATCAATAAACGCCTTCAGCATTAAATATAAATAAAAAGCTAAATTTGTTATTTTTATTAATAATTTGGTTTCGATGAAAACAAGTTTTTAGTAATTTTTTAACGACGGGTTCTTTTTTTTTTTCTAGCAGGAGCAGTTCATTTTTTTTTTTTTTTTTTTAACGGGAGCAATTTGGGTTTTTTTTATTGGCTTGAGTTTTGTCATTTTAATTTTGGGTTTCATCTTTCGTCAGTGGGATTTGAGGTTTCGTTATCCCTTATTGAGTGTTTTAATAACCCAACTATGCTATGCCACAAACTATACCAAATTAAGAAGTACATTAAATGACGAAATAATAATATGACACTGACTAAAATTAAATTTTGGGCATAACAACGTATATATTATGAGTATATTTAAAACTAATCAGACATAATGGTAATTTTTTTCTTATCGTTATTGAATTATATATTTCAAAAATGATTTATCCTTTTGTATCCGTAATAAGAGATAGAAAAACAATTCTTTCGGCTGTATTATTTGAAGCTGATGAAAATTTAACCTTTGAAGATTTACTTTATCAAGCAGATAGTAATTATGTTTCTGGAGAAATGGTTAGAGTTGATATTTAAGTTCGAGGCACAAATGTATGGCATATGGTAGCATCTGGTTTAAATGGATGTTTAAAAATGTGTACACATGAAGAACAAAATGTGTCACATATAAAATTTATAATTCAAAATGAACAATCAATATCAACTACAAATCAAGTTTCTTCTACATCCAATATTTTCAATGAAATGATGAATGCGGCAGCTAAAAAAGTTTTATCTAATTCAAAGCTATCAACAAATCGTGATGATCAGTTATATAATGATGTTTTAGAACTTTTACGTAATAAGAATCTAGGTTGGGAACATGGAACACAAAATTCTGTTGGTATATCATTTATTAATAAACTTGTATCTCTTCTTTATTATTCATAAAACCCTTAAATCACGTAGTCTTAAAATACCATTAATATTTCTTCAATTACCATTATATCAACAAAATTTATATTATAAACATGGAACACATCATAAAACTACATTAAATCGTAAAGAATTAGAACTTCGTGCAGATAAATTAGAAGAATGTGTTTTACAACCATGGGCAAGTAAATCTAATTGGAATGAAATTATAACTGCAACTTTATAATTGTGTTCAATAGCTCGAACATATGCTAATTATCTAGGAATGGTTAATCAACATGTTCAAAGAATTCAATCTGCTTCTGTTCCAGCACGAAGTCCAGAAAAAGATAGTATACTTGAGATGCGATCTTCATGTACAGAAAATACAATGCAAGAAGTTTATTTTTCAATTGTGGAACGAGTTAAAATAGCAAATGAATATGAAATTATATCACTTGAAGAATATTTACCTGAAACTAAAGAAAGAAGGTTTTATTATTTATCAAATTTTGCTATTGATTCAACAGTTATGTTATATTGATATCATCATGGAAATTACTTAGGAACATTAAATTTTATTTGGAAAATTCCTGAAAGTTTTGAACTAAGAGATGAAACAAAAAATGCACAAGCAATAATTTGATCACAATAAATGTTGCCTCAATTTTTTACATGATATATGAGAAGAAATGTTTTTGCAATGGTAAATTTTATTTAGAATTTTATAATCGGCATTCTTTTTTGTACATCATTTTCATGTAACCTTATGTACATCAGATCTTGTCAGCCAATGAAATCGTCGCATAATTTCATGTACATCAAATTTTTATCAAC